GCATTAGGTACAAATATGTATACGAAGCGGATTCTACGGACATTTTCAACATTTTCGATTTTGTATGTTGTTTTGGAGACTGCAGCTTTCCCACAAATAACTGACGAATCATGACACCAAAAACGTTACTATAACATGCTTACACGCGAACCACTGAAATATTGGTATAGTTACAGTACAAACTATAAGGTACTGATGAAGTGATGAATGATGATAACATATGGTTTACAAATTACAATACAATCTGCTGCTGTATATTAAAACAAAATACATCTATCATCATATTTTACGGATAATATGTTAATAGTAAATATGTTAATATATATCCCATCGCCCATATCTGGTTTGCTATGGGCCTGTATAATGCATATGTGCCATGCTGGAATGCAGCTATAAATTGTACGAGCGTCGAGCTCTGAAAAGACTATCAAATGAAAACAATTAGATTGATATAGTAATATAAGCCAATGGTTTTCAATTAGTTTTGAATGTGTTTTGATGGAGTTATAGGTTAATTAAAAAAATTACTGAACTCGTCGTGGTCCAGAACAATGATCTTATATTTAATTATTTAAACATTTACTCAGCGTGAGCTATCGCAGGCGTCTACATATTGCACTATTTCAGGATATATTAACTACATTACCCATGTTACAATATATGATTACAATAGGTAATTAAGACTTTAAGAGATGTATTAAACAGCATGTGTTTTTAAGGATACAGGCGTCAACGGAACAAATAGATTTACAATCTTTCGTTCGTAATATTTTAAGAGAGAGAGAGAGAGAGAGAGAGAGAGAGAGAGAGAGAAAGAAAGAGAGAGAAAGAGAGAAAGAAAAAAATCAATTATTATATTTACTAATAAATAATAATAATAGTACAATATTTAACAATAATAAATAACAAAAATAAAATATTACCAGACGGTCGGGAACTTTTAATGGATAACGTAGTTTTTCCCCAACTCTTAATACAGCCATTTTCAAAATTGTATAAGTACTTATTTACACAACAACCGAGGTCCATAGAAGACAATTTTCCTCGATCCACCATCATATTATGACCCCTCTAACCATCCATACAATTTACAAACCATATAAATTAATGGAATGTCTCGATTCTATAACTATTGACTATGTATTGTTATACCTATATGGGTTACATATCGATTGGGGATAGACTGCAATAGTACCATTGTAATAGTATTGTACATAGAATTATAATTGTTATTTTAATGATATACCTAGTGCCATAGGAAATATAATTTTCATTCGCTATTAATCACCTCGTTTTATATTATATATGTAATATATCTAGACTTTATGTTCTTTTATTTATTTTGTATAAATAAAATAGGACAAGCCTCCCCCCTCCGCAATAAAAATGTACAGAATAAAAGATATAGAAGATATAGTAGTCTTCCCTGGCTAACCTAACAGTATCATAGAGAATTTAAGTCCATATTATCTTTAATTGATTATCTATTTTTCTAAAAATGATATTAAAATTAATTAATTAAATAATCATCAAATAATTAACTAATAATATAGTAATATTGTATATCTATATAATATATAATAATTAATAATTTAATAGAGGACTGTGCATATAACTGTCCTAGCCTGTAGGCTATTTAAGGAAAAAATCAAAAAATGTCATTTTGGCTTCTTTTCAATTTATTATTACCCTACATATTATTTTAGTAGAAAAAAAATATAATTACCCAACTACGTAGTTTGCATTATCAAAATATTTGATTTTTGTAGTTTTTCTTATCTCAATATTTCTATGAAAAAGACGTGTTCATGCAGTCAATATAGAAATGAGACATTTTTTGTAATTTCCTGAAATATAGTGATTTTTATCTTTGACTCATTTCTCATTACTTTCGACCGTCCATTGTTAATAATATGTGTCGAGTGCTTATTTATTTTAAATATATTAGCGCATAAATCGCGTCGCTGCTATACACGGCAGCATTATTAACATTAAAAAAATAATTTTCTGCACTGTCTTGTCATTGAACAAGAGCGGCTAGCCGGTATTAATATTTATCGCCTTAATAATAATCGATTTATAATACAACGATTGCTGAACCCATTATATTATATGTATAATATTTTATGAAAGATAATCCAGATTGATATTTATTATAATTTATAATTATAATAATATTACAGTTACCTACGTTTATACGTGATATTAATAAAATATAAAAATAAAATGTGTACCAAAATAACGCACGTCAACCCCTGTCTTAACTTATTACATATGGTATCTTTTGTGAATAAATTTGTCGTACACAATAAAGGACACATTTTTGTACTTTGCAATTAGCAGCTTTTTGCTTATGCGGGAAGAAGCCTTTTCAACATTTTACCCCCAGCCCACGTTTTACTGTTGCGTGTTAATGATTTTTGAACTATAAAGAATACGTATATATATTATATACGTAACATAGAACCTGCCGTTCAATTTTTTTTTCATCCAATTCAAGCATTGTGACATAAGCTTCGCCATCATATAGTGTATATATATATATATATATATGTATAATATGTATATATTATATACAAGCGAAACGCACAGGGACGAGGTATAAACAATTGTATGTAGTTAAAGGAACGCGTTGAAGGGCTCTCGTGGCTTGTAAGCCACGAGATTGCACCACGCGATTCAATGCCTCGAGTGCATTTTGAGTTGAGGCCTTCATCGATTATCGGGTGTAGGGAAAAATGTCGGCTAAATACCACACATGTACAGTACTAGTTAAGGACAGAATATAGAAAACTGGGAATTTATAAGCTGCCGGACAGCGTGTATAAATGTATAATGTCTAATGTAGGTCTAAACCCCCGCTTGCAGTGTTAGCGTCTGTTTGGGCATCACAGCCTTACTTAAAACATCATATTTTACTGAAAACTGATATTTGTTCTTTAAATTATTAATTTTAGGTCCATAGATATATATGATATAAAATACGATATGATATTTTATATTAATCTTTACAGTTTTCAAGCAAAACTGATATAATATTATATTTTATACTGTAATATATACTCGCTCAAACACGGTGTATAAGAAACTCACCCAAACACTTTGTTTTTATTAGGTGGGTGAAAAGGTCTCCCAAACGCATGAAGCTCGGATTACTTCCATGACATTTTGAAGTTTGATACACAAAGTCACCGAGCAGCTTTGAATTGTGTTCATAATGTTCATAGTTTGTTCATATGTTAAACTATTATTAATTAGGTACATTAGGTAATGTTTAACTGTGCACCTTGTGTTACTTTTAGTTATGTGGCATAAAGGTGATCACTGGGTAAACTGTTGACTTGTCTGTAAACTTGATGCGTGTAAATGTGTAATGTGATGTGTCATATCTTACAAGTTTATGTTATTGCAGTAAATAACATTTATCTATTTGTAAACTGTAGCACTTTTTACATTCTTAGACATGATGTATAAGGGAAGCTAACTAATATAAAATAAACTCAAACAAAATGTACATCAATAATAAATAATAAAAGTCCATACATTAAAATATTATCGACTCACGATTAAATAAAACACGTTGAGTACGCCAACGAATTTATAATTATGTTAAATTGTACATGTGTAACCAGCTGCAGCAAAACATAATTTATTTTTATTTAGTGATTTGACTTCAGCCAGTCAGTTTCATATCATCATTTAAAAATTTAAAATACAACGTGGGAAAATATACGACAATGTGCACTGTGAATAATCTGACTTATATAGAGTAATAATAGGCACGAGTGCTCGACGTTTTCTATCACCTTTCCTAATGTTGCTGATTTTCCAGATCGTATTCCGTTCTATCTAAACCGTTAACCTTGCCACCTTGGACATTGGATCTATAAACGTCTTATAATTTCATTTATAGTATATAGTTAATCTCAACTACTAAATTGAATAGGTATATGATGTTATCATCGTATTGATAACGCACGTTGTAATTATACTAACGGAATACCACTCGTTTTATATATATTTGTATATTTTTGGAATACATACAGACAAAATACTATTTATATTTGTTTTTTAATGTACAAATATATTGGTGATTGGTCTATAATGGTCCCAATAAGTTTTTAAAATTCAAAACGCGTATTATAGAAATAGATTAAATATACTGCTATAATTCAAAATCATATTAGGTTTTGACATAATAAAATATCATAATATATTTTTTATTTATAGTATTTGTACCAAATGGCAAACTTATAAACTAACCAACTAGATCCAATTTGTTACCAAAAGGCATATACCATACTCGAAGTTCGAATCATTTTGTTCTTCGTAAAAAATGTATTCTCACACAAAAAAAAAAACACTTCATAATAAAACCAATACATATTTATCGCTACTCTTAAAACCTAAAATAGGTCTATACAGTATAGTTGCAGTCCATCCCCTGTAATAAGGCCAATGAATATATCGAATGGGCATAATATACGTAGTGGATTAGTTGTTGTGCATTAAAAATAAAAGATAATATATGAGTTTGGTTGATATCTGAGTTTCATTTTGGAAAATTAATTTTTAATCGTAAGCACTTAAAAACAAGTACGGAAATATGTAGAGATATTTGAAGATCAAATTACAAAATGTATACAAAACACTTCCCCGCATCCGTGATGTTATGGTCACAATATAATCTTACGACGGTTTGATGATTGGCATACTATCCGGGCGGACGACTTCTGCAATAATAATTATTTTTTACGTTTTCCATAGCGACCGCGTTCTTACCACGGCCGCGATTGTTCGATACAGAAACTTACTATTATTGTGTGTACTCGGTATAATAACAATAATGATAATGACGACGATGACGATGACGATGATAATAATAATATCATAATTTTGCAGTCGGCCGTCTCGTGACCCACATAATATCTGTCGTGTCTCTGTCGTTGCAGAGATACCAAAACATACCGAATCACAGTGCATAAATGACAATCGACAACATGTCTCGACGACTCTGTACCGACGACGACATTGTCGACGGACTGTTGGGCGCCACGGGCCGCCTTTGCGACGAACCGCGCATACGAGCCCTGTGCGTGGACGCCCGGCGCTCGTTCCTCCGGCAACCCATGCTGCTGCGCCTGCAGGCACCCATCAAAGTGGTCGGCGACTTGCACGGCCAGTTCGGCGATCTTCTCCGGGTGTTCGAAGTGGCCGGCCGGCCGCCGAAAGCCGACTTCTTGTTCTTGGGCGATTTCGTGGACCGCGGCCCTCAGTCCGTCGAAGTATGCTCACACTATATCATTTCGTTTATACATCATTTTATATAATTTTATGAAATATTAACCGTTCTGATACCCGTCTTCGACCTTGAAAAAAAAAACGAAAAAACATCAAATGCGAAGCTATAGTGTATCTAGGTTTAAGTTATGGACGTATAAAGATGTAGCAGCCGTAACTTTATCTATCACTGGGTATAATATGGTTTTATATTGCGCATTCATATAATATTTCACGGGTAAATCGGCATGTGGGCCATCGGTTCGCTTTGTGAACTATATAATTCAGCCGAGATGGGCAATCCACGTCTGCGCAAGCATTAATATGACATTAACTTTTGTGGTGCACTTCTAAAATTAATATATTTTTTTTTACCTAAAAAAAATCCCATAGTAATGCATGGTGACCGATCGTCTGGTCTATAACAATTTTTGTTTATAAATTGTATTTCTGTAACCAATAGGTAGGTCAATGGCAACCATATTAAAATAAACAAAATAAATCATTCGATATAGAAGCTAAAAACACCCTCAGATTCTCGAGGAATCTATTGTTACGACTTTTATTGAAATCGGTCCAGTCATTTCTGTTTACTGCGATCATCGTGTTCAAACGTATACACCTATAGCTTTATAATGTAATACTAGTGTAGATATTACTCCAAATGATGCGTTTGGCATATATTACTCAAAATTCCAATTTGAAAACATAATATTCATATAAAATTAATAAACACCTATAATTGAGTAAAAAAATATTTTTTTATATTTAAAAAAAAATATGGAACTTATACAACCTATATATCTTACTCTAGGGTTGGCTACTGCACTCCGCACGCACCATCCTGGGGAATGAGGATAGTTGTCCCAGCCCCCTCAGGAAAATCTAATAATAAATAGTTTAAATTCAGTGTAACACATGTATCAGATTTAAAATAATTACTCAACGCAAATAAATTGAATTCATTAATAATAGAATAATAACAAGTTAGGTCATATAAAATGTTCAAATTTAAATCATATTTAGTAATTAATATAAAACTATTTCAACACGATATGTCACAATTAAGTACAAACCTTATTATAATTTATAATATAATTGATAGAAAATTAACTTTATGTGTTATCGGCTTATCACGTATTATCACATCAAATATGACAGACCAAATGTGAGATGGTCACTTAGACTTAAGTTCTTCGCCGAGACAACAAAGTTAGATTTTAATATTATGTATAGAATTAGGATATTTATGCACTAAAAAATGTATGAATATGTATGCACCTATCACTTATGCACTAAAAACCAGCTAAATATGTATGAAAAGTTTGAAAAATATGCATTAAAAATAAAGAAATTATTGGATAAAAGATGCCATAAACATATAGACAAATTGAAAAAACTGAAAAAAAATTAAATAAAAAAAAAAAAAATTAAAGAGAGTTACATTGAATAATTTTATTTCCAAAAAATCACGAAAAATAGTGTTACTTAACCTTATTTAATGGTATGTTGGCTGAAGTCAATGCTCTACATAATAATCTAAGTTGAATGATATTTTGTGTTCGATATTAATCGTTGTTTATCATTTTTTTCTTTTTCTTTATTTAATCGAATATGTTTAGCGGTGTTCATATTCTGTTCAAACTTCTCATAATCTGCAATAAAGAATTGAACCACGAACCACCCGTAGTTAAAACGTGCTCTCCAAATTCTTCTACAAAACTTCTTAATCGGTTAGAACAAGAGTTTTTAACTTTCGGTGTAACTGAGTGATTTAATAAAATCAAATAGATACACGGCAAAACCCAAAACGAGCAATATACGGTGAGGAACCTACCTACTATCTACATCGGTCGTAGACAAGACGGCAACTAACTATACATTATTAAACGTTATGTTAAAGTATCTGATAAAATTGTTATGGCCGCGGTTTTAAGATAAGTTTTGACTATGACAATTGACGGAGGTTATCGGAAATTCTATTTAAGTAGGTATAACCATATTGAACTCTCCACAATAAATAAGGGATAATTTGTGAAATACAGATAATCAAACTTCGATAAGATTCAGTAAATAAAATATAAAATGAAGGTAATTTTTAGCATTTTGCATTGAACACCGTCAAATATACACTTAAAAACAGAAAAAACACAAATTATGCGCTTATAAATAAAAATTGGTAAAATATGCAATTATATATGCAAAATAAAATTTTGATATTTTGAATATAGATATCATAAAACATATTTCTGTACATAAGAATGGATGCTATTGGACAACCTAAAAAAAAATATGCTAAATCATAAACATCCTAACCCTATAATTATGTATATAGGTAGCTTATACAAATGGCAACTATTAAATGTATTTATATACTAAACGATTACTTTCGGACTTAAAATCCACTTTTTTCGTCTTGAAATTTGTCTTAAGACTTCAATAATCGGCCCCTTATCTAGAAGATATGATTAATTTCATTGTATCAATGTGAATGGAACACTCGACAAACACAAAATATACCATTTGTTTTTGTGTTAATAGCATTGTGACAAGTAAAAACTTGTGTAACAACTAACCCCGGTCTCTCATACACGTTGCCGTGTCTCCATATTTTCAGTATTTAATAGAAGGAGCCCGGAGGGGAGAACAATTTTGAAAAGCCCATATTACAAAAGATAACAAGCCTCACTACAATTTATTCTCACCTAACACGATTTTAATATGTATCGTAGTCAAAATACACTTAGATGAATGTGGCATCGTGATATCTTGCTCATTTTACATTTTTACAGAGGTGTTGAACAAACTAAAGTACAATACTAAACACGAGAGCTAAAGTATATTACTGTAAAATATTGAATATTACCTTCACAATATAATACATTTCGTCATAATTATAATATAGCAGTCAGGTGGCTTTTAAAATCGGGCAGATGCAAATGCTCCCCCCTCCAAAGGATGACACTTCACTACAGTACATGTATATGTTACTTACCACAGTTATTGCAGCGTATTACTTACCTGTTGTATATATTTGTTTATTTCTATTTTATCATTATGACACTTGTTATTTATTATAAAATTATATTTATATGATATAAAATCAACACATCATAATTATACACATTGAATGCGTCTCGAAGGTGATCACTCTACTGCTGGCGCTCAAGACACGGTATCCGGAAAACGTTCACCTCCTCCGAGGGAACCACGAGTGCCGTACCGTGAACATCCGGTACGGGTTCTACGGAGAGTGCCGGTCCCGGTACGGCCTGCTCACGGGCGCCCGGCTGTGGCGAGCGTTCAACCGGACGTTCGACTGCATGCCGGTGGCCGCGGTCATCGGCGGTCTGATATTCTGCACGCACGGAGGCCTCAGTCCGGATCTGCACCACATGGCTCAGATAGACCGGATCCGGAGGCCCGCCACGGTGCCCAGGCGCGGTATGCTGTGCGACCTGCTGTGGTCAGATCCGGCCGCGGGCCCCATCCAGGGCTGGCGGAAGAACGTTCGCCGGAACGTGTCGTATGTGTTCGGCGCCGACCGGGTGGCCGATTTCCTGTCCAGATTCCGGTTCCAGTTGGTGGTCAGGGCTCATCAGGTACCAGCTACATATGTGAGGCCGGGCTCACTCGACTCGTGTATTTGACGAACGTTCGCTATTCGTCGGCACTCGTCATGTAATATGGTAATAGGGTTGGCACTTGTACCATTAGGTATTCGGTATTATTATTATTCGTGGTATGTCTTTGTATTTGCCACCTTCCCGCGGTTCATCGGTTAAGTGCCACGAGCTAAAGAAATATATTATTTGTTCGTCGAATACACCACGAGTAGTTAACGGGAATGGTCTTATATTTGACTATTCTCGTAATTTGACGACAATTTGAGTATTATTCGTACTTATTCGTCAAATAAGCGAATTGTGGAAACCCAGTTTTATGTTGCGGCTTGTGCGCGACGTAGGAACTTATATACTTATATACTTATATACTTATATATTCAACCGGTGTCTGGTTACTACGTGGCCCTGGTTATAGGTTGCAGGGCGTCAAGTTATATTCCCCGGCAGTGAATTTTTCCTATGGGTAAATAATATTTTTGAAAATTCCCGAGCTGTATTCAGTGGTTGAAGTAGCTCAATATATATATAGGTATACATGTGAAGGGATGTCTCTCATAATTTATATAGTTCTCATATATCGCTTAAACAGTCGTATAAAATAAGTGGAGGGATGGAAAATGTGAACTGTAAAAATTGGGGAGATGAAAGGGTCAAATTAATTATAATTTTAAGTATTTTTTTGGTTTTCTTACGATATTATTGGATACTCAAAATAAAAATAAATTATTTAACACCTACCGTTAAGTATTAGAATATAGATATGACGTAGGTACCTAAACGCATATATATACTCTATGATGTGAATATGCACATGCAATAGTTACAATTAAAATATTGCCATGATGGCAAGATACAATAATAATATATTAATTTATGCTTCCAAGTTCTAAGAATTGAATTAACCTAACCTTGAAATTAGTTATCTTATATAAAAAACAAATTTTTTTAGTAAAATATTGCGTTCTAATAATCTAAATCGTTGTTTTATATCATATAAGTAATTTATTTACTATATTATGTATATGCTCTAATCATTACATTTTTTTCTTTATTTTTTGGACTTCTTATATCTCGTATTGATGGAAATAAATAATACATAGTTGGTAGGCGGGCACGAATAGTCGAGTACCTACGAACACGAAGCGGACATCCGATCAGTATTCGCATCAAAAATAAAATTATAGTTTTTATTTATGACGAACATTTACCACCCTTGATCTTATCCCCCACGCAATTACTATTTTATTTTAATAGTCCGGAAACTAATTTTTCAATCCTATATACATCTATATTATATGTCTATAGAATATATTATTAAATGTCTGTAAAATATATTTTATACCTATACAAATGTCTATAGAATATATTATACGTATAAATGTAGGGCCAGTAATATTGTCGTCCCCTCTTTTGGTCACTCGGGCGTTCGTTACGAGATTGTATTATCATTATTATTAAACCTTCGTTGTTGGTTCACGGCCCAACTATGCTACGTTTTAACGTTTATAATGATAGAATTGTTTGTTTGTAATTTGGCAATGGTTACAGCTGATGTATAGGGTCCAAGTATTGAGGCAGTTTCAAAGAACTTTATTACAATTTCATTAAAATCTCTACGCTTAATGAGTTTGTTTTATTATCATTGTATGTTCTTTTTTATTTCTACCACGAACATTTACATTTTTTATTATTCCACGCTTATACCGTGTGCACAATGTTTGGCTAGAGTTAGAAAGGTCTAAATAATGCATTCATATATGATATATACTAAGTATATTTTATTAGTACCTACCGTCTCTGCAGGGATTATCTAAGTAAATAAATAAGTTCATTATACGGGGCTTAGTATACCGACCACCAGCTATATAATTTACACATTATATTATTATTTAACATTTGACACAGCAAATTCAAAATTCAAAATGAAGTAGTTTTATGCATATCACGCTTGTAAATTAAAACGATTTTGTTTATTATGGTGGCTAGTTTATAATTTGTATTTATGAGTATTTAATTGAAACAATGATTATTTGCAATAGCTCAGTAGTATCACTATTATTGGCTCTATGTCAGATAATTATAAGCCAATAATATAGTTACTTATCCTTTGGAAAAAAATGCAAGCTAAAAGAAAAATAAGAAATAATAATTATTTTCAAACTGGTCTAAAATAATACTTAGGTACGTAGTTTATAAATATATATAGTATAAATCATTTTTCAATGAATAGTTTCACTTAAATATAAGTTAATAATAGGAAACAAATTACGTTCAATATTTAAGTTTTTAGATAGGCCAACTATGATTATCTGCAAATAATAATTATGTCCCATATTATATTTGCTCAACTGACTTGTGGGTATATTAATATCAAACTGAAATAGTTTCTTCAAGTGGAATGTAAGTACGGGTAGGTATAACCTAATATTTGTTTGGAATGTTCGTATAGGCGCATAACAAATTGCTTTTAGAAATACTTATGGTTACGTTTGTTAAGATAAATTGTTAAGTTCAGAAACTAGGTACAAAAGTTTCAGTGGCTATTTAAGTCATATATTAGTATACTACTAACTGCAGCAGATATTATTAAATATTATCATATATTTATGATTATTATAATTTATTAATGTGTCATAATATTATAAGTAATTTATGGTAATATAATAATATATATTATAATTTATTATATGTAGGTGTATCCTTGTGAAGAAAGCTTGTAGAACAAGTTCAATTAATCAGCATAATATATTTATTATTTATATATTCTACGCGAGTGTCACTAAACTTAAAAAAAAATATTATATTTATTTGCCAAGACAATATTAAAATTAGAAAGGACGTACAACGAATCTACCTAAACTCTGTTACTTACTTGAGTAGCATACTAAAATAGTATTATATTTATAATAAGGCTATGTAGGTAATTTAGCAATTTAAAACTTTCATTACAAAATGTGTAAATTTAACTCCCTAATTAAAATCGTAAGTACACCTTTACAACGTTCACATTAAACATGTTAGTACATTATTATTAAATTAATTAAAATTATATTTCCAGACTATTTCAGTGTACGCATTAGATGTCCTAATTATACCAACATTTTAGGTTTATTTATTTTAAAAAAAAACATCATTTACCGTGACCTATCTATAGTTATATTAGGTATGTATATATTATATAGATTACAATAGAGTTATGCTTTTGAAATAATAAAGCTACGTAGCGTGTAAATTAGTTTTTAAACAATATTACGTTTTGCAGAATAGGTCATAATAATATGGAATAGGGTGGATAGAAGTTTTTTTATACTACCTAACATGAATTATTATTGTCCAAGACAGTGTAACCGCCATCAAAATTGTAAGTATGTATGCACTTAATTTTCGATCAACCTATTATTAAAGTTAATATAATTAGTCAATACTCAATACTCTTTACTATATATTGTAAGGGTAATTTCATATATATTATATATTATATAGGTCACTGCTACAAAAACTTTTCAGATTGATCAATTTAACAGGTTTAATTGGCAGTTCTGCAATAAAGCATACTTTATCTAACATATTTACCTAATATGTACAGTATTTATTTATCTTATTTTAACATGAATACCTATGTTTTTATAAGCAATGCAGGTCAATCCACGGCATGATTGGTATATAGGTAGTCGTAGCACATATAGGTATAACCGTAAAAGTATGCAGTAGATATACTTAAACGATGAAGACGGTTGAAATCGGATCGTACTTTAGTTGTAATATATTTTTCCGATTCATGCTACATTGAATCTAAAATGCAAGCAATGAAAACAAGTGGTCACGAGTCTAAATTTCGTATATGTATATAGGTATCAGTAAAAAGTTGGGACAGAATAATTAAATTCGATATTATATAATATTCAGATCCAGATGTTTGTACTTACTTATTTTACTATACACTTATATCAAGGACCATAATATGCAATTATGCATTCACAACTGCATTATGTGCTGGCGTGCTGCAATCGAACGTACGCGTCTGCTACTATTTCTGTACTAAAATACAGACATGTTGTACGAATTAAAAAAAGTGTGTAACTGTATAAAAAGCATTCAAAGTTCTTAAAAAGTGATTGCCATCTATTGCCCTCGACCACTATAATACATAGGCTATAGTCTTACACAGTTGTGTACAGAAAAATATTGTGGAACGATTATTTTGTTTATTTTTATTCGTGTTTCAAATTGTTATTTATCATAATGAATGTATCGTGTGTCCTACACACAGTGCGTGGAGGGCGGTTACCAATTTTTCGCGGGCCGCAAGCTGGTGACCGTGTTCAGCGCACCCGATTACAATGGATACGGTTTGCCGGGCGCCGTCATGTCTGTGAACAAACACGCCGAGTGCACTTTCCAGCTGATACCGGTTGAAGGAGCAGCGCAAAACAAGCGTCAGGTTGCGGTGCGGGGGGCGGCAAACAGAAGATCAAAATCGTGTTAGACTTCAGTGCGACAGCGATTTTTTTAAGATGTTTATACAGCGGGCTGTATACCGGCTGGACATGGATCTCAGAACTCTTAATTTTTTTAATTATTTACAGCAGGTCCACAATGCAAGATATATCACGAAAGCCACGAAAGAAACAAACGAATTCTACTTTTTAGAAAATCTAATAAATTTTTTAACATACATTATCACTATAGTTGCATATGATATGTCCATCGGAACTCTATTTTAACGGATTTTCTTTATTATTGTATCCAAAATACTCAATCGTGCATCGCGGATAAAATATACGGCACTCCGACGATCGCCCATTATATATATTGTAACAGCTCCACGCCGAGAGGTTCGGCGCGGGTCTGATCATCCCCTTCCCCTTCGTCAGCTGGGGTGCTAAGCACACGACTATCGACCCTGCCTAGAGCCACGCGTTTGAGAGTTGTATTATAATAGGAAAGTATTCAACCGAAGTTATAATATATGACTGAAATGAGACGCGCCACAGTATTCAATGTTCTACAAGATATTCCAAAATATAAAGTTGGAAGATATGCTTCTGAAACTAGAGTAAATAAACGGCGATTGTGCTGTTGTATTAAAAAAGCAGGCAATTAAACAAATTACAGCAGTTATGGAAGATATCGTTGAATCGATTAACACGGTACAATAGTTAGATGAATTGTATTTTGTAATCTATTACTAATTATACAACTGAGTGTAATTAACATTCCTGGCATGACTTACCGCATGACATCAGCAGACACATCTAGATAAAAGGTATATTTATTATGCAGACGATAAGGGTGCCGTCAACACATTTCAATGAAATGGTATTAAAAAAAATAATAATAATAAGACAAAATGTATTATCAAGATACACATTTGTAATGTTTATATTTCAATTGTATAAAAATGTAGGTATACAGTTTATCTTAGCAAACCGATTACAGCTCTTCTCCCCCCCAAATCCGTAGATAATTTTAAAAAGCTAATTTCTTCATCAGCAGGTAAACGCATTGGTCCACTTCGAATCCGTGTAAATTGTTTGGGTCACCCAGCAGTCGCATCAATAATCCGCCAAATGATACGTAAGCGGCACTAAAATATAAAATTTCAAAATTAAAGGAGAACAACAAATTATTATTGTAATAATATGATAGCAAAAAATATCGTCCAACAAGCGTTACGAGTAACAAATTAATATATAATATAATATTATACGTAGGGTGTATTATAAATAAATCAAGAGGGGAAGGCGTCCATCGATGTTTATAGTTTCTCTTCTTATACAATCGTAGGTACTTATAATTTTTATGCAGCCAGCCATTAAATTAACTCGTATAGGTATATAGGATTACGCCGAGTGTTACGCGCTCGTTTCGTTTTGCAATTGATTGCAAGTATAGGAGATGATAATATTATTCTACACAGCTTTTTATAGAACTCGGTGGACACAAATTGTCGGTAATAATGAGAGGGACAGTGTATCGCAATAATAAAACGTACGAAAACCTTACGAGTACACCGATTACTACAGAAAGTCTCATAGTAAACCGGAGTGTCCGGATATTCTAGTTTTTTTTTCTTAGATTTTTCAGCTACGTTCGTTCGTGCGTTGGGTGTCAGTACTGTCACTGTCATATAATTTCCATAAAACAGAATATTATATAGTTTGTGTTTATCATTGTCACATAATATAGTTAAGGGAGGGACGCGACAAAAATCACCGCAACAGCCGTCGAGTCGTATGTTGCGAAAAAGTTTTAAAATCGTTGCGGTTTTGCTTGAAAAAATAATGTTTGCTTTATGTTTATGGTTTATTTTTCACTCTTATCACGGCGACTGTGACACTGTGACTTTGAAAGGCTGTGGATTTTGTCTGCACGCGAGTTTCAAATTTAAATGAAAAACCCGCTAGGTATATATGTATTTCCCTTTTCAGAAAAATAAACTTTCGTATTTTCATTAAAGTAAAATTTACTTTTATACCGCCCGCCAGGGAATACTATGTGCATTGTATATGTATACGACTTGGATGTATAAAAGCGAACCCAAGTAATTGGGTCCACACCGAATCGCGGAGATTCTTTTACTATCGAAACGTTATTTACCGTCTACGCTAATTACATTTTAACTACAAATAATATCATCAACTCATCCACGACGATAGCTGATATTGATTCTGCGTGTATAAAAGTAATACAATTTTCGACGAATGTTGTTTATTGGTTAAAATATATGTATTACAGACACAACTTTGGTATGAGAAGAAAAATAAAACGATTTACCTCGGAAATGCGATTTGCTATGTGCATAGTACGTTGTAATATTGTCATACACGTCGATTTATCATTTATCATAATATTATTATCATATTGTCATGTTATACTGGTCCCAGAGAAGGGGACAATAATTATATACAAACAAGTCATTTTTTGTATGATATTATATTATTTTACTAACATGTAATAGTATGTGATACTAATATGTGTACATCAAATGAACATACACGAGAAAGATAAAAAATAAAAATAAATTATGTATAAACCAGAGATGTTTTATTTGAAGTACCGTGGCCCTGAGTAAAGTGTTATTATTTTATTTATTTTTAATTGCTCACGGTTCACCGCAGATACACACGTGCAAAAAAATACATCTAATCTAGGTATACAAACTGTTCACGACGCGTACGACGACCGCATTAAACGTGTAGCGCATTTAATAATAATAATATTAATAAAAAATATTTCGATTTAGCACGACGCGCGTATTAACTTTGTGGCCTGCGGTAGTTCTCCTAAGACTCGATCGATACAATTCGATAAAACATTTTATTGCGACACTATAGCTGTATAGTCGTATGGATTCCCGTCTCAAACTCTGCATTATATATATGATGCACTTTTACTAACTTACGCTTATTACAGAAGCGTGCGTGTGCTTGTATTATTTAAACATATATAAATTATAGTGTACGTACACGAATAAATTATTATCAAACTCCTCGAAACGGTCTTTGAGGTACCTATTTTTTTAAGAAATCTTCACAGTTTATTGGCCAATAGTAATGTATGCACGCGTTGATAAACGCCTCCTCTCATAACCCCTTCCATCATATTATATACATAAGTGTGAAGCAAGTAACAACACATGCACAATAATATATAATATACAATCCGGTCCGTAGTAATGTAAACTCAAGTATAGTACACGGGACACCGTGTAGTTATTTTAAGCATAGAATGTAATCATTGTTATAATATTGTAAAGGTATTAAAGGTATTTGTATTGCTATTAAAATTATATAATATAAAAATAAACACGCCATAGTGATAACCTTTGGTTTTATATATATTACAGATCGAGTTAACGCGATCCAAACACGTATAATAGGTACATTAATATTTAATACACGTAGGTATAGTGCAAATTTATAGTCATGTAGTAATGATGATTCAATAAAGTAATGAATAACTGATTTTTTATATACAAATATAATGTTGTTGTTATTATTAAATTTAATATTAACTACTACTATTACTACTACTACACTACTATTTTCGTTATTCTACATATAGTGAACTTCGTCGTCGTCGATATCGTTGTCGTCGGACATGGCCTGACGCCCAGTGGAATGTGCTTAGTGGCCGTGAGTATAATATCAAATATGTACACAACCAGCTAATCACACTGCCACAGTGCGAAAATCCGGCATAAACACTTGCTGCTACGATGATAGAATAAGGATAAACACACAAATATACATAGATACGTAATAGATAATAATATACACACATTAGCACATGTAGTATATATATACAGGGTGAGATCCACAAGCTCATCCCCTTTTATGCTTAAATGATTTATTTATATTCTGATTTTTCGATGAAATTCTTTGATTTATTATATTATACAAGGAGTATTCTATGGCGATACGAACTTTTTTGAAATATTACCCACCATGTTTTATTGTGAATTGTTAAGCGGATTTTTTTTTTTTTAAATATTGATGCATCTAAATCGAAAATCAAATAAATACCTTTCCTAGTGTAACCTAACCTAACCTATACCAGGAGAGTTCCTGAGTTAATAAACTTTGTGTATTATTAGGAGTATAATATAGACAAGGCCTACTATTTAATATTTGTTTTACCAGTAAACTTCAAATATATGTGATTTATCATAAATAATAATGTGAACATTTTATATTGACTACTATAGTTTTTCATTCATCACATAATGAATAATAATGATAATAATTAGCTATAATGCATAGCTCCAATTGTCTTTTACACCATTATATCATGGACTATAATAATATTATCTTTATAGGTAGTATACTTTGAAGACCATATTTTTAGAAAGGCACCTCCTTAGATTTTTGATGCAAAATTAATGTATCCTATAAAGTGATCCAAATTTTTTTCAAACAAGTATACTAGCTTGTTTTTGTAAATTTTTAAGAAGAAAATCCTTTAGGAAATGTAATTAAACTTAACTTAAAAGTAGATATGAAGGTATTAATATCAATGAAATCAAAATATATTAATTATCAAAGAAAAAATGGGGGTGAGAGTGCTTGGGTATCACCCTGTATAAATAATACAATGCACGCGTCTTATACAAGATATTTAGGTACAACAATTTATAAAATTATACTATTACAAATGCGAAAAGAATTTAAAAAAAAAAAACATGTTTTGATATTTTTATCAATTGAAAACATAGTTGTAGTTTGCATATTATTATAATTATGATAATATTATGTAAGTATATATTATATCATAATAATAACGACGAGTATGCCGCATGTTGGCCTAGATTGCGTGCGTTTTCTCCACCCCTGCCCTGTAATATATTATAGCACATACTATGTGCACCGTTTATAATATTCGAATACAAACAATATTATCCATTACACGGGCCACGAGGTGTATATACACTATACACCAACCGCAACACAGGACAAAAGTATAAGGTACAACACACACACAAATGCGTATTATTACGACGTTTATATATTATATCGATTGTGTGCAGTTCGCCGACGCAGAACAGCAGCGTATATATACGAATAGGTGATTTCGCATTATATTTATGCGGCCCCCGAGTCTTCGTATTAAATATTTTTTTCGTTTGTTTTCCTCGCTACGAATAGTATATGCTGTGGAAACACTAGGTGTATATATATTGCGTATTTATGTGTTCATCTGCCGTTTGGGTAGGTGAAAAAAAAAATCGCGTTTCCTATTATGTGTAATATTATATACCTACTACGTATTACATATATTATTATAGTGTGTGCGGTGCTGTGTCCGCTCCATTGCCCTTCGGCGGCCTTGACATTTTTATATCATTTTGTACATCGAGCAGAACACGCAATGGACATTATACCCGCCGTACTACGATCGTCGCCGTACGCTTTTATTGCTGAAGAAGACTTTGATGAACTGTAGTGGGACATAGGGAGAAACCGAGTAAAATGTATTTAGGTAAACGGATGAGGTTGTATTATTATACGGCACTGCAAGACTGTATTTAACTAGAGTGAGCAGTGTAATCTTTTATCGAAGAGTATCTACTAATTGTTTCAAAGCAAAATTTTTGAAACATGATATTTTTTAAAAACTTTTTATTGTTGAGTCTTGTCATTTCTTGACCGTTTTTTACTTCATTTAATGACAACGTACGTTTTTAATTTCTCATTCCAAAGCAGAATATTTTTTGGAATATTTCATTTTATAAAAATCGAATTTTGGACGAGTAGGTAGTTTATAATTAGAACTTGAAAGTATTTAAGGTCATCATTAATTAACTATTCGTTCGAAATTTGATTTTTATACTCCGAACAAATTTCTGCTCAGGAATATGAAATTTTAAAATGTAAAATGTTCTCATTTATATGTAAAAGTAAAAACTTCAAAATATTATCTAAATCGTTTGTTGTACGTAAAGGAATCACCTGCAGTGTATGAGTGTATTTCGATCATCGCGAACTTATTATCGTTTTACATCGATTGCATGTCCCCGAATTCACGCACCGCACGTACACAATAGTACACCATCGTAATTCGTTACGTTATACATATAATAGTATTATACATAAACGTATACTATTATTGTATAATATATTATAATTGCGAGTTGGGTTCGCGGCATTACTGGTAGCAAATAGTGAAGTTACGAACCAGATATTGTCGATTTACGAATACAATAAAAATTACAAATTATTATACATTCACATCACACATATTATAATAAATATGTCATCTTATTAGACCGTTCGTCGTGTGTTTAAGGCTATAAAATATTATGACTTACAGGCCACATAAGTATAGGATCGATATCGTGTCAAGTCGACCCAGTGTGCTGTAGTTTATATACGTCGTGGTCTTTGAACAACAATCCGACATAAATAGGTACGTAATAATATATGTTATATGTTATTTATTATTAGATAGACGTATCCTAGGTGTATTCACGTCACACAATATACGAATATACAGGAAGATTCACGTTAAAAATTAGGATAATCACTAATCGGAAAAAAATCCCGGAAAAAAAAGTTAAGTGAACAATTTACCGAAATACTTTTTCTTGTACGTTGTACTTTGTATTTTAGTGTGCAATGTATTAAATGCTTGTACGTATATATTATATATATATTTGTTATCTACCATAACTCGTTATAGTCATAATATAGGTAATGAGTATGAGTGCGCGTTTGTTTTCGAATTTTATATTTTTTTGGGTACATGGGATTTTTGCTCAATTTCCACAAAGAGTGCTCTAATTTATTCGTCGGAGATGTTCAAAAACCGTTCTAGAAGTGTCTGTGTTTTTTAAAAACTGATTTAGATATAACTCACCCAAATTGTATTTCTATGTATAACGATTATGTGCATCAAGGGAATGATTATCTTATTTCTGCGACAAAAATAAAAAACCTAAGCTTAGCTTCATAACATAAGAAACAGTTGTGATTAAAATATATATAATATTTTATATTGCATTATTATACTAATTACTCAAGTATACTATTGTATTTATTATTTTTTGACTTTTTTTCCGCTATTCAAGAATTGGCATTTATAATATATAATATCATAGTAAACGGAAGACATCTCATGAAAAATATAGAGTACTAATATCATCCACCAGCATACGAAGATTAGAATTCCGAAATTTAAGTCATATCTATCTATATAATGTATCAAACGTTTAAGAAATATTTCATACAATACCAAAACGCTACAGGCGTTTCAGTCCATCTGCCTACGACTAGTAGCATCTTCTCCTTGTTACCTACTTCTCAAACAAATTATCTTAACAATGACTTAAAAATGCCTACCCTTAATCAATTAACAACATTGTATTACTTTATTATTAAATTGTATACTAACTTTAACTATCACAGTAACCCATTATTCAATCTCAAACAACTGTCCTCCATCACACTTCCCGTTAATGTACAAAGAAGACTCAAAATACAGTGGCCTAGGCC